GAGGAATTGTTAAATGTTGATGAGGATAGGGAAGCTGTGATTTCATGTATAGGGCAAGGAGGAATAACATCTTGTAGGAGTGAGGAAGGGCCAGTTGTGAGTGTGGGGGAAGTTCGTGAGGCAGTAGGTAAAATGAAAGGGGGTAAGGCAGCTGGGATTGATGGGATAAAGATAGAAATGTTAAAAGCAGGTGGGGATATACTTTTGGAGTGGTTAATGCAATTATTTAATAAATGTATGGAAGAGGGTAAGGTACCTAGGGATTGGCAGAGAGCATGCATAGTTCCTTTGTATAAAGGCAAAGGGGTCAAAAGAGAGTGCAAAAATTATAGGGGGATAAGTCCGTTGAGTATACCTGGTAAAGTGTATGGTAGAGTTATTATTGAAAGAATTAAGAGTAAGACAGAGAATATTATAGCAGATGAACAAGGAGGCTTTAGGAAAGGTAGGGGTGTGTGGACCAGGTGTTTACAGTGAAACATATAAGTGAACAGTATTTAGATAAGGCTAAAGAGGTCTTTGTGGCATTTATGGATTTGGAAAAGGCGTATGACAGTGTGGATAGGGGGGCAATGTGGCAGATGTTGCAGGTGTATGGTGTAGGAGGTAGGTTACTGAAAGCAGTGAAGAGTTTTTACGAGGAGGATAGTGAGGCTCAAATTAGAGTATGTAGGAAAGAGGGAAATTATTTCCCAGTAAAAGTAGGCCTTAGACAAGGATGTGTGATGTCACCGTGGTTGTTTAATATATTTATAGATGGGGTTGTAAGAGAAGTAAATGCGAGGGTCTTGGCAAGAGGCGTGGAGTTAAAAGATAAAGAATCACACATAAAGTGGGAGTTGTCACAGTTGCTCTTTGCTGATGACACTGTGCTCTTGGGAGATTCTGAAGAGAAGTTGCAGAGATTGGTGGATGAATTTGGTAGGGTGTGCAAAAGAAGAAAATTAAAAGTGAATACAGGAAAGAGTAAGGTTATGAGGATAACAAAAAGATTTGGTGATGAAAGATTGGATATCAGATTGGAGGGAGAGAGTATGGAGGAGGTGAATGTATTCAGATATTTGGGAGTGGACGTGTCAGTGGATGGGTCTATGAAAGATGAGGTGAATCATAGAATTGATGAGGGGAAAAGAGTGAGTGGTGCACTTAGGAGTCTGTGGAGAGAAAGAACTTTGTCCTTGGAGGCAAAGAGGGGAATGTATGAGAGTATAGTTTTACCAACGCTCTTATATGAGTGTGAAGCTTGGGTGATGAATGTTGCAGCGAGGAGAAGGCTAGAGACAATGGAGATGTCATGTCTGAGGGCAATGTGTGGTGTGAATATAATGCAGAGAATTCGTAGTTTGGAAGTTAGGAGGAGGTGCGGGATTACCAAAACTGTTGTCCAGAGGGCTGAGGAAGGGTTGTTGAGGTGGTTCGGACATGTAGAGAGAATGGAGCGAAACAGGGTGACTTCAAGAGTGTATCAGTCTGTAGTGGAAGGAAAGCGGGGTAGGGGTTGGCCTAGGAAAGGTTGGAGGGAGGGGGTAAAGGAGGTTTTGTGTGCAAGGGGCTTGGACTTCCAGCAGGCATGCATGAGCGTGTTTGATAGGAGTGAATGGAGACAAATGCTTTTTAATACTTGACGTGCTGTTGGAGTGTGAGCAAAGTAACATTTATGAAGGGGTTCAGGGAAACCGGCAGGCCGGACTTGAGTCCTGGAGATGGGAAGTACAGTGCCTGCACTCTGAAGGAAGGGTGTTAATGTTGCAGTTTAAAAACTGTAGTGTAAAGCACCCTTCTGGCAAGAAAGTGATGGAGTGAATGATGGTGAAAGTTTTTCTTTTTCGGGCCACCCTGCCTTGGTGGGAATCGGCCAGTGTGATAATAAAAAAAAAAAATAATAAATAATAATTCTAGTGGCTTCAAATCAAGCAGGAGAAAGCTGGTAGGCCTACATGCGAGAGAATGGGTCTGTGTGGTCAGTGTGCACTGTATAAAAAAAATCCTGCATCACGCAGTGCATGAGAAAAAAAAATTCTGACGGTGTTTTTGGATTAAAATGCCAACTTTGAGGTGTATTTTCGTATAGTATTTATGGTTGTATTCTCTTTTTCTTGATCTCATTTGATAGAATGGAGAACATGTTACAGAAATAGCGGTGATTTTGATTAATTTCACGACAAAAACGACCTTGAAATTGAGCTCAATAGCGGAAATGTTTGATTTTTACCAGTTTTCAAGAGTAAGCAGATCACACCACACGTCCAATACACGTCAACTGGGGAGTCTAATATTCTTTCACTAGTACACTGATATTATTTATACCATTTTTACAGTGATGCAGTGGTCTGCAGTACAGTATGTATTCTATTTTTTGTGTGAATAACAAATCAAAATACAAAGCAAGAGGGGCCTGGAGACGTGACTAATGAACAGAGGATATGTTATTTTAGTGCCAAGAATGTCTGCATTGTTTATTCTGGACCCTATTTTGAAATTGGCATCTTTTTTAATTTGTGTAAAATTGACCAAATTGCCAATTTCTGACCAGTTTATTGGGTAGTTAAAATTGGTAAATGGGCAGTTTCTTGTACTCAGTCGATAGAAAAAATGGAGTACTAAAGAAATTGCTGAGAGTTTGGTCGACTGGAACAATGGAATTGGCCGAAAATAGGGCTCAAAGTCGGCAAAATCGCCGATAAGTTTACCATCAGGAAAAGATTCTCTCATTTCATAAGCTTTTTTTTTTTTTTTTTTTTTTTTTGACATAGAATGACAGTTTCAGAAAGGGGCTTGTGACAGTCAAAGGGTTAAAGAAACTAAAATAATTTGTAAAAAGTAAACATCGCTGGCACATTAACACCACTGTTGTCAGTTAGGGATAATTTTTTAACCTACTTCAACACACCAGAAAATTGCATTTTTTTTTTTTTTTTTTTTTTTTATATTTTGCTCATTTTGGTCTTACTCAGTTCAGAAACACAAGCTCTATCAATCTGTAGGAACTTTTTTTTTTCTTCAAAATCTTTTCCCATATACACAGAATTTTTTTTTCAGTGTCTCCCACAGTTAAAGGGCTAAATAATGAGATAAGGAATTCAAAGATAGGAAAAAATATTTTCAGATGTTGTTGAATATACATGTAGATGAAATTAATTAATAAATTTTGTAAAGTAAAAGCACACAAGTGCAACTAATGTGACATTTTATTGTGGCAACGTTTCGCTCTCCAGGAGCTTTGTCAAGCCGGCTTGACAAAGCTCCTGGAGAGCGAAACGTTGCCACAATAAAATGTCACATTAGTTGCACTTGTGTCCTTTTACTTTACATATTGTCGGTAATTCTACCAACATTATTACAATAAATTTTGTGCTTGGAATGAGAAGGAATCTTTATCCATTTAAGTGAGGAGCTAGAGTGAGTGAAACTATAACATTTAAAGTGGGAAAGGCAGCTGGAGTGGCTGATATTAGGAGAGAGACTGAGAGTAGGTGGGAATAAAATGTTAGAGTAGTTAATGCATTTGTTCACTGGCAATATGTATGAAAGGGTTTACAGAGAAAATGGGTTCCATGAATCCCTTGACAAAATGCTGCCTTGCTCACACTTCATCAGCTCATAAAGTCCCAAAAACCACTTGTCTCTAATCACTCTTGTCTGATACACCCACACATGCTTGCTGGATGTCTAAGCCCCTAGTACACAAAACCTTCTTTTCCCCCCCTCCCCCCCTCCCTCCAACCTTTCCCTTCACTACGGATTTATACACCCCCAAATCATCCTGTTGTGCTCCATCCTTTCTAATTGTTCAAACCAGCTCAACAATTGTTCCTCAGCCCTCTGGATAATATTTTTAGTAACCCTGCACCTCCTCCTAATCTCCAAATTACAAATTCTTTGCCTAATATTTACAGCACACATTCCCCTCAGACATAACATAGCCACTGCCTCCAGCTGCCTCTTCTCTGCAATATTCACAACCCAAGCTTCACACCCACATAAGAGTGTTGGTACCACTATGCATTTCCCCCTTTTGTCTCCATGGATAACATTCTTCATCTCCCCTCATCAATTCTTTAGTTCACCTACTTTTATTCTTGCCCACTTTGATGCCTGTTGCTCATATTTCAACTTGTTTTCAATCTTTACTTACTGTTACTGTGGTTCTCTGTTAGTACCCAGTCTCTTCACATGAACTAATCATATCATTAAACTAGATAATCAAAATCTTATTTATGCCACTCACCCTCTTTCCTCTGATTTTTATCATATTTCCTTATACTAGTTCTGCATAATCGAAAGATTATTTTCTTAATCTGTTTTTTATATCCTTATCCCACTATACTTTTCTCTTCAATTTTCTTGCTTTCCCCTTAGTTTTTTTCCACAGCTTCTGTATCAGTTACCTAAATGATCCTGTCATTCACTGAGCACCTCTGCAAAGACAGTGATTATGTATGAGTGATGGTTTAAGTGTTGAATGATGATGAAAGTTTTTTCTTTCTGGGTTTTTTTCTTTTTGGGTCACCCTGCCTTGGTGGGAAATGGCTAACTTGTTAAAAAAAAGAAGTAAAGACAGTTTAACAAATTTTGTACTGCCAGTATGAGCATTGCTCTACTGGTCATTTTTTAGTTTCTCATTATTTATTATGTAATGAACAGTCTTCTTACTGTATTATACATTAACCAATTACAGAGTTATCTAAAATGTTCAACACCCTCCCTCCCATTCTCATCATGTGTGTGTTATTGTTATGTCATTTATTTGTAAACAGTGCTATTGTTGCATAGCATTCCAGACATTTTTCTAAGAAACATTTTCATTCACATACATTTTACTGTATCTCACATCTTCATCCTTCTACTTACCAACTCTAGCATTAAAGGACATTTATGGTGTTATTTCAGTCTATAACTAAATTAGTACCTATAATTATCGATTGCATGTCTCACTAGAGTTTGTGTAATTGTATTACTCTTTTACATTACAAATAGATGAGTATTTTTTGTTTTTACAGGCTTGGGAGAATCATATTCTAAGGAACAAATCAATAATTGTCGACCTCTTTCATGGCCAGTTGAAGAGTAAGGTTACTTGTCGAGTTTGTGGAAATGAAAGCGCAAGATTTGATCCTTTTACTTACCTAACACTGCAGCTGCCCATGGAGAGTTTTGTATATTTAGAGGTTATAGGTAAGCAGTCTAATTTTTTGATTACTAAATTTATGTAAAACTTGCAGATACCTAATGCTCATTCTCTGTCTACTGAATGAGGAAACTATAATACATTATATGTTTTGACCTAAGCATCTTCCAAATAGAGGCCAGAATTCTTTCATCATTCATCGCAGTTTACTTAAAACTATTATTCACAGTAAGATTTCATATAAAAAAATCCAGTTAATATTTTTTTAAATCTGGCTTTAGGGAATTTCTGGGTTGGAAGGTACCAGATTTGAGATCTTTTACTTATACATTATAGAAATTTATTCCTGTTTATGCATATTATTATTTTTCAGTTGTTAAACTCGATGGTAGTGTTCCTGTGAAGTATGGGCTGCGATTAAATAGTGACAGTCGCTATTATGATGTAAAGCAGCACCTTCACATACTTACTGGTATACCCCCACATCAGATAATGCTCAGTGAACTGGCAAATGCTCAGATTAAGGTAATTACCATTTGTGTATAACATTATGAGCAATGATGTTTAAAACCAATGTGTGGTGTGAATATTAAGCAGAGAATTCAGTGGATAAAGATTTCAAGATAGTGTAAGGATATGAAAGTTATTCATAAGGTTGTTAAGGTGGTTGTTAAAAGGCCATCCCAGGAATGATTGAGAGGAGGATGTGAAGGCTTTAAGTGGTAAGAAGTTTAGCATTTTGCTAAATCGCTATGTGACAAGTAGTTTTTAGTACAGTGGACCCCCGACATTCGATAAATCCGACATTCGATGCATTTTAACTTAAAAATTTCGCCTCGACATTCGATGGAAAACCCGACATTCGATACGATTCGTACGAGACGTGTCCACGTGTGGCCTGAAGTGCCCCTTGTGTGCCAGTGTTTACAAGCCAGCCAGTGTGCGCGCATCTAAGGATACATTCGGTACATTCCATATTATCCATATTATCACTGTTTTTGGTGCTTGTTTCTGCAAAATAAGTCACCATGGGCCCCAAGAAAGCTTCAAGTGCCAACCCTTCGAGAAAGAAGGTGCTAATGACTATTGAAATGAAGAAAGAGATAATTGTAAAGTACGAAAGTGGAGTGCGTGTGTCGGAGTGCATGATGATTTGGTAAAGAAATTGCCTGCAACTAGTGGTGATGTGAGTGAAGTTAAGGCCAGCAAAGGTTGGTTTGAAAGATTTAAGAATCGTAGTGGCATACACAGTGTGGTAAGGCTGCCAGTTCAAGTCCTAATGGAAGGGGATTCTCCTTCTAAACACTAACACCATCCACACACTCCTCTCCCATCCCATCAATCATCACCAGATCTTCATTAAAGGTAAGTGTCAATTATTCTATTGTTATTAATCTGTTGTTATTGTAATTATTCTATTGCATTAAACTTAATATTTCATGTGGTAAAATTTTTTTTTTCATACTCTTCGGTGTCTTGCACGGATTAATTTGGTTTCCATTATTTCTTATGGGGAAAATTAATTCGACTTTCGATATTTTCGACATTCAATAGCTCTCAGGAACGGATTAGTATCGAATGTCGAGGGTCCACTGTATTTGACATATTGTTAGAGTATGAGCAAGATATTATTAGTGAAAGGAATCAGGAAAATGTGCTCGCCAAGACTTGGCCCTTTAAGGTGAAAAGTGCAATACCTGCATTATCAGCAAGGAGTGAGGATGTTGCATTTTTGAGGGATCATTTGAATTGTGATGTCTGGGCAAGACAGCTCTTAAATGAATGATGATTTTTTTGGCCAGCTTACCTTTGCAGGAGACATTTATTAATTAGGTATCCCAGAAGGGAGACCTTTAACCCTTTGAGGGTTGGTCACGTACTAGTACATCATTGCGGCCAAGGTCAGTCACGTACTTGTACGCGTAAATTCTAGCGCCTTCAAATCGAGCAGGAGAAAGCTGGTAGGCCTACATGTGAGAGAATGGATTTGCATGGTGAGTGTGCGCAGAATGAAAAAATTTGGGCACCCAGTGGTGCATTGTGGGAATGCCATTTTAGTTCACCTTGTCCACCATGCCTCGCAGTAAGAAGCTCCTCACTCCTCGGCGAATTGGGACTCTCTTGTTCCCAAGTGACAGTTCAAATACGGATGGAAGTGTCAGTGAAGGTGAGTTCCAGGGTTTGACGAGTTTGTGTCCGAGAATAATGAACATAAGAGTGGTAATGGTGATGAAAATCCAGACGACCCTCAACCTTCCACATCTGATGCTGGGCCATCTTGTTCACGTTCAGTTGCACCAGAATGAAAGAGGAAACTTGTACAGTGGACCCCCAGTTTACGATATTATTTCATTCCAGAAGTACAGTGGACCCCCGCATACTGCACGCATCGCATACCGTACAATCCGCATACCGCTCGCTTTTTTCGCAAAAATTTTGCCTCGCATGCCGCCCAAAAACCCGCTCACCGCTCTTCGTCCGAGACGCGTCCAATGTGCGGCCTGAGCCACGCTCACATGTTCCGCCGGTGGCATTGTTTACCAGCCAGCCTCCGCTGTAACATCCAAGCATACAATCGGAACATTTCGTATTATTACAGTGTTTTTGGTGATTTTTTCTGGAAAATAAGTGACCATGGGCCCCAAGAAAGCTTCTAGTGCCAACCCTACAGCAATAAGGGTGAGAATTACTATAGAGATGAAGAAAAAGATCATTGATAAGTATGAAAGTGGAGTGCGTGTCTCCGAGCTGGCCAGGTTTTTATAATAAACCCCAATCAACCATCGCTACTATTCGTGGTACAGCTGCTGCTGCTGCTGTACCACCGTCAGCTGCTGCTGCACTGTCAGCTGCTGCTGCACTGTCTGCTGCTGTTGTACCACCGTCAGCTGCTGCTGCTGCTGCTGCTGTAGTACCGTCTGCTGCTGCTGTAGCATCGTCTGCTGCTGCGTAGCATCGTCTGCTGCTGCTGTAGCATCGTCTGCTGCTGCTGTAGCATCGTCTGCTGCTGTTACTCGCTGCTGCTGCTGTAGCATCGTCTGCTGCTGCTGTAGCATCGTCTGCTGCTGCTGTAGCATCGTCTGCTGCTGCTGTAGCATCGTCTGCTGCTGCTGTAGCATCGCTGCTGCTGCTGTAGCATCGTCTGCTGCTGCTGTAGCATCGTCTGCTGCTGCTGTAGCATCGTCTGCTGCTGCTGTAGCATCATCTGTTGCTGCTGTAGCATCGTCTGCTGCTGCTGTAGCATCGTCTGTTGCTGCTGTAGCATCGTCTGCTGCTGCTGTAGCATCGTCTGCTGCTGCTGTAGCATCGTCTGCTGCTGCTGTAGCATCGTCTGCTGCTGCTGTAGCATCGTCTGCTGCTGCTGTAGCATCGTCTGCTGCTGCTGTAGCATTGTCTGTTGCTGCTGTAGCATCGTCTGCTGCTGCTGTAGCATCGTCTGCTGCTGTTGTACCACCGTCAGCTGCTGCTGCTGCTGTAGCACCGTTGTTGGTGTGGCTTATTGAGAATACCAAGAAACAATTAACCCCAGAGGATTTGCCACCCAGGATAACCCAAAAAAGTCAGTGTCATCAAAGACTGTCTAACTTATTTCCATTGGGGTCCTTAATCTTGTCTCCCAGGATGCAACCCACACCAGTCGACTAACACCCAGGTGAACAGGGAAAAATGCCTGGAACTAGTGCTCATATTGGTGAATTTAAAGCCAGCAAAGGTTGGTTGAGAGATTTAAGAATCGTAGTGGCATACACAGTGTGATAAGGCCTGTTCTGGAAGAAAATGCCAACCAGGACCTACAGTACTCAGGAGGAAAAGGCACTCCCAGGACACAGTGTCTCATCAGTCATTGCTGCATCTTCAATAAAGGTAAGTGTCATTTATTCTTCATTTAGTAGAGTAGTACATGCACAATATATATTGTGCATGTACTACTCTACTATTGTGCATGTATCCTTCTCTTTGTGTGTAGGAAAATGTATATTTCATGTGGTAAAAATTTTTTTTTCATACTTTTGGGTGTCTTGCACGGATTAATTTGATTTCCATTATTTCTTATGGGGAAAATTCATTCGCATACCGAACATTTCGCATAACAATCAGCCCTCTTGCACGGATTAAAGTCGCTATGCGGGGGGTCCACTGTATGTTCAGGTGCCAGTACTGACCGAATTTGTTCCCATAAGTAATATTGTGAATTAGATTAGTCCATTTCAGACCCCCAAACATACACATACAAACGCACTTACATAAATACACTTACATAATTGGTCGCATTGGGAGCTGATCATAAACCAGGGGTCCACTGTATTTTCCCGTGCTCAGGACACAGGTGTGAGCAGTGGTGATGATAGTGACAGTGACTATGAGCTCCAAACTCTTGAAAACAGTTGAAGTAGCGAGAGTGAAGAGGAATACAGTGGACCCTCAACCAACGATGGCATCGTCTAACGTTAAATCCGACTAGCGATACATTTTAATGCAAAAATTTTGCCTCGACTAGCGCTAAAAAACTTGACCAACACGATTCGTTCTGTCTGAGATGCATCCACTTGTGGCCAGTGTTTACAAGCCAGCCAGCCACCGCGGTCCCATCCAAACATACAATCGGAGCATTTCATATTATCACAGCGTTTTTAGTGATTGCACCTACAAAATAAGTCACCATGGGCCCCAAGAAAGCTTCTAGTGCCAACCCTACAGCAAAAAGGGTGAGAATTACTATGGATATGAAGAAAGAGATCATTGCTAAGTATGAAAGTGGAGTGTGTGTCTCCGAGCTGGCCAGGTTGTACACAAAACCCCAATCAACCATCGCTACTATTGTGGCCAAGAAAACGGCAATCAAGGAAGCTGTTCTTGCCAAAGGTGCAACTATGTTTTTGAAACTGAGATCGCAAGTGATAGAAGATGTTGAGAGACTGTTATTGGTGTGGATAAGCGAAAAACAGATAGCAGGAGATAGCATCTCTCAAGCGATCATATGTGAAAAGGCTAGGAAGGTGCATGAGGATTTAATTAGAAAAATACCTGCAACTAGTGGTGATGTGAGTGAATTTAAGGCCAGCAAAGGTTGGTTTGAGAGATTTAAGAATCGTAGTGTGATAAGGCATGGTGAGGCTGCCAGTTTGTACCAAAAAGCAGCTGAAAAATATGCACAGGAATTCAAGGAGTACATAGACAGTGAAGAATTGAAACCTGAACAAGTGCTTAATTGTGACACTGACAGTGTTGTGAAACACTTTAGGAATGTCATAAAGGAACGGGAGGTACAGGCCTCTATGGACAGATATGTTGTGCGACAGAGGTCCAGTGACTCTCAAGCTGGTCCTAGTGGCATTAAAAGAAGAAGGGAAGTAACCCCAGATAAGGACTTGACACCTTAAGTCCTAATGGAAGGGGATTCCCCTTCTAAACACTAACACCATCCACAGTCTCCCCTCCTCCCATCCCATCAATCATCACCAGATCTTCAATAAAGGTAAGTGTCATGTAATTGTACATGTCTTCTTCAGTTTGTGTGTATTAAA